GCCTTCACTCAGAGCATCATTTCTTCTCAAAATGATGTTACATGAGAATGGGAGTGTTCTTCTTTACTTATTCATACCGTATCAATGTAGAGACAACCTGTACACAATGTAACTTGTACACAAACCAGATGTGTACACTGTTTACAAAACTTACCCTTCGCCTGGTTTGTTTACATAACTCTGCGCCTGTCCTCTCTCATGCACTCATTCTTTCTCTCTGGTATGGTAGCCTGGCTGACTACCATACATACCACACTTGATTTTTTACAATAAATACTACTCATCTCACCCTATATTTTAAGGTAAGTAATGAGTGAACTGTATATACATTTTATCGCTCTGGGATGCTTAAATATCATAGAATAGTATGTGTGGGTGGGGTGGCCTGGTATGGTAGCCTGGCTGACTACCATACATACCACACTTGATTTCTTACAATAAATACTACTTGTCTCACCCTAGATTAAGACTATAAAATTTTAAGGTAAGTAATGAGTGCACTATATGTGTATTGTACTTTTTTATTGTTTTTTGATGCCTGGTTCTATTGCTAACATAATATATGTTAGTGTAAACTTGTTATCTAGTGTTTGTATGCATTTGTATGTGGAAAAAAAAGGGTGTTCCACTTTACGGCGGTTTCCGCTTTACGGCAGTAGCCTGGAACCTAACCCGCCGTATAAGTGGGGCCCTCCTGTATTTGGGAGTTGACGTGTCAGTGGATGCATGTTTGAAGGATGAGGTTAACCATAGAACTGATGAAGGAAAAAAGGTGAGTGGTGCACTGAGGTACATGTGGAGACAAAACACATTGTCTACGGAGGCAAAGAAGGGAATGTATGAAAGTATAGTGGTACCAACACTCTTATATAGGTGTGAAGCTGGGTTGTAAATGCTGCAGTGAGGAGATGGTTGGAGGTGGTGGAGAAGTCCTGTCTAAGAGCAATGTGTGTAAATATTATGCAGTAAATTTGGAGTGTGGAAATTAGGAGAAGGTGTGGAGTTAATAAAAGTATTAGTCAGAGGGCTGAAGAGGGGTTGTTGAGGTGGTATGGTCATTTAGAGAGAATGGATCAAAGTAGAATGGCATGGAGAATGTATAAATCTGTAGGAGAAGGAAGACAGGGTAGGGGTTGTCCTCGATAAGGTTGGAGGGAGGGGGTAAAGGAAGTTTTGTGGGCGAGGAGCTTGGACTTCCAGCAAGCATGCATGAGCATGTTAGATAGGAGTGAATGGAGATGAATAGTATTTGGGACCTGATGAGCTGCTGGAGTGTGAGCAGGGTAATATTTAGTAAAGGGATTCAGGGGAACCAATTATTTTTATATACCCGGACTTGAGTATTGGAAAATAGAAGTACAATGCCTGCACTTTAAAGGAGGGGTTTGAGATATTGGGAGTTTGGAGGGATATGTTGTGTATCTTTATACGTATATGCTTCTAAACTGTTCTGGTCTGGGCACCTCTGCAAAAACAGTGATTATGTATGAATGAGGTGAAAGTGTTGAATGATGATGAAAATATTTTCTTTTTGGGGATTTCCTTTCTTTTTGCGTCACAATGCCTCGGTGGGAGACGGGCAACTTGTTAAAAAAAAAAAAAATAAGTGTTGGTGCTGCTATACTCTCGTACATTCCCCTTTTTTGCATCTAGGGATAAAAGATTCTTTGTTACTACTGATAACTCAATAAACTACCCACCTCAATTCTATAGTTCAATTCCATGCACTTATCTGCACAACAAGACTCACTGTCACACACATACCTTCCCACCCTCATCCACAAAAGTAGGTGGTGTGGAAAGCACATGTGAAGAAAGCAGTATAAGATATACCTAATAAATACCTTGTCTTCATTAACGAATTTAAATTTTACACTCGCATATGTAGCAACATTTGAGAGGAATCGTGAGATTGAATCTCTGATCCTCTGGTCAAGCAAGCAAATCAGTAGATTTTGTTCACAGGAATGAGTGTTACCTGGGATTTGACAGATTTTGAGTTTTTTCCATCTCTTTCAACCTAGCTTTGGACTAGGCTTATCTGGTGCTTACCTAGTCAACCAGGCTGCTGCTGCTGGCAACCTGGTGACTCAAATATACATCACAGCCAGGTTGATCTGGCCCCTCATAGAGATAATTCTCGAGTTTCCTCTTCAAGACTTCAACATTTGTTCCAATAGTGTTTCTGACATTTTTTTGTAAGAAGTTTAGTAATCTTGTCCCATACATATTGATAGTAGGAATGAGATGATACCAAAATTTTTGCTGATACTGATACTAATATTCAATTTTAGCCCAATACTGATACTTTTTTCTTTTGACACTTTGCTGATGACACTGTGCTCTTGGGAGATTCTGAAGAGAAGTTGCAGAGATTGGTGGATGAATTTGGTAGGGTGTGCAAAAGAAGAAAATTAAAAGTGAATACAGGAAAGAGTAAGGTTATGAGGATAACAAAAAGATTAGGTGATGAAAGATTGGATATCAGATTGGAGGGAGAAAGTATGGAGGAGGTGAATGTATTCAGATATTTGGGAGTGGACGTGTCAGCGGATGGGTCTATGAAAGATGAGGTGAATCATAGAATTGATGAGGGAAAAGAGTGGTGCACTTAGGAGTCTGTGGAGACAAAGAACTTTGTCCTTGGAGGCAAAGAGGGGAATGTATGAGAGTATAGTTTTAACAACGCTCTTATATGGGTGTGAAGCGTGGGTGATGAATGTTGCAGCGAGGAGAAGGCTGGAGGCAGTGGAGATGTCATGTCTGAAGGCAATGTGTGGTGTGAATATAATGCAGAGAATTCGTAGTTTGGAAGTTAGGAGGAGGTGCGGGATTACCAAAACTGTTGTCCAGAGGGCTGAGGAAGGGTTGTTGAGGTGGTTCGGACATGTAGAGAGAATGGAGCGAAACAGAATGACTTCAAGAGTGTATCAGTCTGTAGTGGAAGGAAGGCGGGGTAGGGGTCGGCCTAGGAAAGGTTGGAGAGAGGGGGTAAAGGAGGTTTTGTGTGCGAGGGGCTTGGACTTCCAGCAGGCATGCGTGAGCGTGTTTGATAGGAGTGAATGGACACAAATGGTTTTTAATACTTGACGTGCTGTTGGAGTGTGAGCAAAGTAACATTTATGAAGGGGTTCAGGGAAACCGGCAGGCCGGACTTGAGTCCGGACTTGGTTCGTACGTCAGCTTGCGTGCGGCCAGCAGTAACAGCCTGGTTGATCATACCCAGATCCACCATGAGGCCTGGTCTCAGACCGGGCCGCGGTGGCGTTGACCCCCGAAGCCCTCTCCAGGTAAACTAATCACTCCAAAACTATATCCGTGCAAGCTTTTATCATTTGTGTCTTTAACCCATCAATCCCAGCTGCTTTACCCAGTTTCATTCTACCCAATGCCTCAGGCACTTCCCTCCCCCCCACTCACAACTGGCTCTACCTCACTCCTACAAGATCTTATACCTCCCTGTCCAATACACAAAATCACAGCTTCTGTATCTTCATCAACATTTAAGAGTTCTTCAAAATATTCCCTCCATCTTCCCGACACCTCTAACTCTCTGTCTAATAACTTCTTTGTTTCTTTCAACACACTGGCTGTATCCCACTGAAGCGGGGTGGCCCAAAAGGAAAAACGAAAGTTTCTCCTTTTACATTTAGTAATATATACAGGAGAAGGGGTTACTAGCCCCTTGCTCCCGGCATTTTAGTCGCCTCTTACAACACGCATGGCTTACGGAGGAAGAATTCTGTTCCACTTCCCTATGGAGGTAAGAGGAAATAAACAAGAACAAGAACTAGAAAGAAAATAGAAGAAAACCCAAAGGGGTGTGTATATATATATGCTTGTACATGTATGTGTAGTGTGACCTAAGTGTAAGTAGAAGTAGCAAGACGTACCTGAAATCTTGCATGTGTATGAGACAGAAAAAAAAAGACACCAGCAATCCTACCATCATGTAAAACAATTACAGGTTTCAGTTTTACACTCACCTGGCAGGACGGTAGTACCTCCCTGGGCGGTTGCTGTCTACCAACCTACTACCTAGTTGTCTAATAACTCTCCTCTCCTATTTTTAACTGTCAAATCCATTCATTCCCTAGGCTCTCTCAACTAGTTAATCTCAATCCAATTTTTTTTCTTATTTTCAGCAAAATTTGTTGATAGCAGCTCACCCACTCTCTCATTTCCTCTCCTTTTACATTCCTTCACCACTCTCTTAATCTCTCTATTGGCTCTATGCAGACTATAAATGATCTCTATCTCTCTTCTAGATGTGATATGTTTCTTGCACTGAATGGGGCCATCAACACTAACGGTACTCTAAGCAGACAAGCATAGGCGATTTAAATAGATAATTGCAGAACAGCTGTTGCTCGAACCCAAGGCAGGCGAGGCCTAAAACTCACAAGTGTGTGCGCCAACCACTGGACCAGTTGGCTTGTGAATTCTGTGATTTGTTAGTTATTACGATTTCATGAGTCAGATCTGAAGTGTCACCTCTGGCATTATTTTAATAGTTCAAAAAGTTCTCATTATCAAGCCTGTCATTTTCTTGGCTTCTGTGACATTTTCTTTACTGTGTTCTTCGAAAGAAAGGTCAGCTGACATTATTACACCCAGGTCCTTTGCATGTTCCTAAAGATATAATGAGAGGGTGAGGGACTGGAAGGAGGAGGAATACAATAAAAGAAGAGGGAATGGGAGAGGAGAAAAAAGGAAAGGGACCTTTATCTTATCCCAAATGAGTAGTTAACATTATTTTTAATTTCTAACAAAGAAATGAAATTGGATACAAAATATTATCTGGGAACCCATCTCTGATTATAACTTAGGTCTCAATGGAAAAACAAGTTTTGAGTTCCAAACGTTCAAGTTCTGTCTTGATATTCCTTCCCTTCACTCCTTTCTTAAGTACTGGCATGATGCATAATACAGATGCAGTACTAAAATACAAAATGATCAAGAAATAGAGAAATTGAAATCTATTTAGTTGTCACACTTACTGATATAACTCTGTCTCCAATGTGCAGTTTTCCATCCTTAGCAGCTGCTCCACCTTCCGTTATTCTCGATATATAGATAGCCTACAGAAGAAGTAATGAATATTAAACACATCATCAATGGTATTTGTTAATACATGATACTTGTACACTACAAAGAAATGTGCATACATACTCATAAATACATACTCATTAAGATAAATGGAAGAAAAGGTATAATTATTTAACTGATTAAAATACATTTACAGTATATGATATGCAGTCTACATAATGTTTGTTTTGAATGCGACATGAAAGCAACAGCATTAATAAACTATGAAAAAAAGAAGAGGCAGAAACAGCAGCTGAGCATGGCAGCAACATCTAAGATTTATAGGATAAAATGGACAACATTAAAGAAATAGAGCCTATATCACACCCCAAGATAACCAGAATGAACGTTCATACTACTCCTCAGCTCAGTTAAACCTCTAACCTTCCCCAATGAACAAAATTCCACTTTTTCTTGGCTATATAAGCAAACTTCCTGGACTGGAGTAACTATTCATTACATCAACTGCAGCTGGTAAAATATTCTGGATCAGACTCCTTATGTACAAACAGAAAAAACAAAACAACTGAGAAAGCCATAGCATCCCCAAAGGTAGCACTGACTCTTACTTCAGCTAACAGCCTCATTCATGGTGGGGCAAGGGGGACAGGGGGTGGGGGTTCAGGTCTTAGCTCCTGGGCCTACTTGCCAGATTCATTTCTACTTGACGAGCTGTTGGAGTGGGAGCAAGGTAACATTTTGTGAAAGGATTTAGGGAAAACAGTTAGCCGGACTTAAATCCTGGAGGTGGGAAGTACAGTGCCTGCACTCTGAAAGAGGGGTGGGGATATTTACAGTTTTGAACTGTAGAACTGGTGTGACTCTGGCAAGACAGCGATGGAGTGATGGTAAAAGTGTTTGTTTTTCGGGTCACACTACCTCACAGGGACATGGCCGGTGTGTTAAAAAGAGAAAAAAAAAAAAAAAAAAGAAGCTTCAGCATGTAGGTACTCAGCCTTAAATTATAACCAAGAGTGTAGCAAAACTGCCAATGTAAGATCAAAGAGGCTCTATAGAAAAAGGAAAAGGCTTTATGTATCAAATATACATGTACTGTATACAAAATGCACAAAAAAAATATCAAACAAAAATATATACATTCTAAACCGTTTACAGTTCTTAGTAAAGCCTATAAATGGATTAAAATACTACCAGAGGCCTTCACCACATTCTTTATGATTATGAACTACAGATGCTCCTCGCTTTACGATGGTCCAACTTGCAATATTTCAATTTTACGATGGTGTGATAGCAATGAATGTTAGTTCTATGCTTCACAACATTCCTCAGGCCCGGTGAGCTTTCAGCTGACTATATTAATGGTGAGTACCTGTATAACATATTACTATATGTACTGTACCTGTATCATCCTTAGGTTATCAAGTCAATGTAATGTAAAACTTTTTTTTTTTGTATTATACAGCACTGTACATTTATTGATAGGATAATTTTTTTTTTAACACACTGGCCATCTCCCACCGAGGAAAGGCGACCCAAAAATGAAACACTTTTACTATCATTCACATAAATCACTGTCTTTGCAGAGGCGCACAGATGTCGCTCCAAACAGCATATATCCCAAAACCCCTCCTCTAACCCGTAAACAGTCCAAATGTACATATAAATATATACAAGTTCTTACCACTAGCGCCTTGAACGCATATATACGTTCAAATTTGACACAACTGGCCTGAGATGCCTGGTCAGCATAGAATGGATCTTAACACTCTGTGTTCACTGTATTAAAAAAATCTGGGACCACGTAGTACCTTGTGGGAGCACCAATTCAAATGAGCGCCAGCTAGAGCAAACAGCACAGCAAACAGCGCAGCAAACACCTGGGATTCACTGATTTCATGTACAGTGGACCCTCGTTTTTCGTAAGGCTCAAAGTCATAATTTTTGGAAATCGTAACTTTTTTTCATCAAAACACTGATTTGCAAATTGTCGTTTGACTTGCAAATAGTCATTCGTCTGGGACGCTTACACACAGCCCCGAGCCGCCTCACACTCCATTCCCAGCTAGTGTGCCATTGTTTATCAGTGAGTGAGGGTGATCCCACAAGCTCATACGATACATTTCATAATATTCCATTCATTGTAGTGCTTGCAACTGCTAAATAAGTTACCATGGCTCCAAAGAAAGCTTCTAGTGCCAGCCCTTTGGTAAAGAACGTGAGAAACATATAATTTAAGAAAAAGTTTGTAGAAAAATACGAAAGTGGTGGTGGTAGAGTGGTAGCAATTGTGATAGTGGTAGAGGGTGGCAGTGATGGTGGTAGAGGGTGGTAGCAGTTGTGATAGTGGTAGAGGGTGGTAGCAGTTGTGATAGTGGTAGTGAAGATGGAAGAGGGTGGTAGTGAAGGTGGAAGAGGGTGGTAGTGAAGGTGGAAGAGGGTGGTAGTGATGGTGGTAGAGGGTGGTGGTAGCAGTTGTGATAGTGGTAGAGGATGGTAGTGATGGTGGTAGAGGATGGTAGTGATGGTGGTAGAGGTGGTAGTGATGGTGGTAGAGGGTGGTAGTGATGGTGGTAGAGGGTGGTAGTGATGGTGGTAGAGGGTGGTAGTGATGGTGGTAGAGGGTGGTTGTGATAGTGGTAGAGAGTGGTAGCAGTCGTGATAGTGGTAGAGGGTGGTAATGAAGGTGGAAGAGGGTGGTAGTGAAGGAGGAAGAGGGTGGTAGTGATGGTGGTAGAGGGTGGTGGTAGCAGTTGTGATAGTGGTAGAGGATGGTAGTGATGGTGGTAGAGGATGGTAGTGATGGTGGTAGAGGGTGGTAGTGATGGTGGTAGCAGTTGTGATAATGGTAGAGGGTGGTAGTGATAGTGGTAGAGCATGATAGTGGTTGTGATAGTGGTTGTGATGGTGGGGAGAGGGTGGTGGTAGCAGTTGTGATAGTGGTAGAGGATGGTAGTGATGGTGGTAGAGGATGTAGTGATGGTGGTAGAGGGTGGTAATGAAGGTGGAAGAGGGTGGTAGTGAAGATGGAAGAGGGTGGTAGTGATGGTAGTGATGGTGGTAGAGAGTGGTAGTGATGGTGGTAGCAGTTGTGATAATGGTAGAGGGTGGTAGTGATAGTGGTAGAGCATGATAGCGGTTGTGATAGTGGTAGTGGGTGGTAGTGGTTGTGATGGTGGGAGAGGGTGGTGGTAGCAGTTGTGATAGTGGTAGAGGATGGTAGTGATGGTGGTAGAGGATGGTAGTGATGGTGGTAGAGGATGGTAGTGATGGTGGTAGAGGGTGGTAATGAAGGTGGAAGAGGGTGGTAGTGAAGATGGAAGAGGGTGGTAGTGATGGTAGTGATGGTGGTAGAGAGTGGTAGTGATGGTGGTAGCAGCTGTGATAATGGTAGAGGGTGGTAGTGATAGTGGTAGAGCATGATAGTGGTAGTGGGTGGTAGTGGTTGTGATGGTGGGAGAGGGTGCCTTCTTCAGTGATTCAGCGATTCTAACTCCTCCAGTGTTGTTGGAATTACATAGGGCTACAGAAAACAGATGCCTCAGCTACTGCTTCATCACCATTATGGATGGCTTATGCTCTCAGTGGCCGTTATACACCCAACAACAACAACAACAGAACACCTCTTGTGACATTCATGACTTTTATTCATTCTACAGTATATTCCATGTTTCTATGTTATTAATATTCTTTATTATGTCATATTAGTTGAATTGTGATAGATAAATAAGCTGTAGAGTTGATATTAGTGTCATATTCTCCAACAATAAACTCGCCTCCCCTCCCTCTGCCCCGTCTGCCATACACCAACAAGAGTCTTCAATAAAGGTAAGTGTGATGTTCATTTATACATTTTATTAGTGCTTTACATTTATTTGGCATTCTTTTCTGCATGTAAATCTATATTTAAGCTAGGGAAGTGGCTAGGGAAGTGACTCCTGAAGTGACCTAGAGTCCTTATGGAGGGAGATTTCCCTTACAAATGATAACCTCTCTTCGCTCTCCCCTCCTCCTTGTCTTCCATTCATCAACAACAGCCTTCAATAAAGGTAACTGTCATGTTGAATGTTCATTCTTTTGTGCATGTAAATCTAACTTTAAGGCAAAAAAAAAAAAAAAAAAATTTTGTTGACACTTCTGGGTGTTTGGAACGAATTAATTGGATTTACATTATTTCTTATGGGGAAAATGGATTCGCAAATCATCAATTTCGAAAAATAGTCACACTCTCTGGAACGGATTAACCCTTTCAGGGTCCGTCCCTTAGATCTACTGCTTTACGTTCAGGGTCCAAACCGTAGATCTACGCCATGAGCTCAGCTCACTCTGATAAGCTGTGAGTGGTAAATTTGGGCCTAGATATGAGATAATACATCTATGTGGTATGTGTGCACCACATAAAAGAAATCCTGCAGCACACAGTGTATAATGAGAGGAAAAAAAACTGAGACCATGATTTTCGATTAAAACAGCGACTTTGCAGTGCTTTTTCGTATGTTTGTTATAGTTGTATTTGCGATTTCTTGGTCTCATTTGATAGAATGGAAGACATATTACAGAAACAGAGATGATTTTGATTGGTTTAATCACTGGAAATGGCTTGAAACTGAGCTCAATGTAGCGGAAATGTTAAATTTTTGCCGATGTTAAAGAGTAAACAAACGAACTCACACGTCTAATGCACGCCAGATGGTAGGTCTAATATACATTCACAAATGTGGTGATGATATTGATACAATTATTACAATATTGCATAACAGTAAATCTTCTATTTTTTGGTTTGAATAAAAATTCATTATGTGAATAAAAGATCAAAATGGAATTCATTTGTAAAGCCTCAAAACGTAACTAATGAACAGAGGAAATGTTAGTTTAGTGCCAGGATTACCTACATTGTTTGTTCTGGACCCTATTTTGAAATTGGAATATTTTGAACTTTGTGTTAAATTGGCCAAATTACCAATTTCCGATCACTTTATTTTGTAGTTTAAACAGTTGACTTGGCAATTTCTTGTGCTCAATCGATAGAAGAGAA